CTACCATCTCATGCTCTCTTAAGAGAACATTGTCAGCCCAAAGTCCTGGGGGATGGACAAGAGAGAGCCAGCCTTGGGGCATGAAACAGGGCTGAGAGATCTTATAGTCTCCTTGTAAACAGAGATCTAGAGGGAATAGCTCACTTCTGGAAAGGTGAGGGGCTAGGGGAATATACTATTGCAGCCCATCTAGCTGAAGCAGGGGAAATCTAGCCAAGCATGACACACAGATATCCTCACAATCTCAAGGGTAGAATGCATAGCACGAGAAAACTGTCCCTAACTTCTGCTTCAAGGTCATGATACATCAGTACTTCTCAACCCCTGGGGTAAATATGAATCACCAGGGAATGTAGTTCAAATGCAGATTCTGATTCCACAGAATCCTGAGCTTCTGCATTCCTTGCAAGCTTCCACTTGATGTTGATGATGGTAATGGTGATCATCTGTAGATATAGTTTGAGTTGCAAGAAGCTGAAGAACCCCTAAAGATTGGATTTCCCATGATGCCCAGGACCTAGCTCTCAACACCTCCCAAGGAGAGGCTGAAGGGGGAATGTTTCCAGGCCATCTCCACTTTTGCTCACACCTTCAGAATCCATCTTCCACTTCCAGATTCTAGGAGCACAAAGACCAGGAGGTAGAGATGATTTAGGCATAAAGGTGGCTGCTGGGTAATAGCTGCCACTCACAGTATGTACTTTACTCCTCACGCCTCAGGGCCAGACAAAAGCAGCCCTACACTCTCAGCATGGGCCCAGAAGAAGAAGCCAGTGGTAGAGAGGAATGGGGACAAGGATTTGGGAAAAATCTAGTCTAAAAGTTAAATTACATAGAAATATTTCCAAATATATAAACACACGGAGCTTAGATGGGAAGTTTCCATTTCCTTTCCATTTTGGGGATCTCATAATACATAGGATGGGATATTTTTGGGTGGTTCCGTGAATCTTAGTTCTCTTTTTCTAAATAATTGTGCTGTTATGACAGGGCATCTCTGGGAGTGCAAACAAGGGTAATCACTCAGCAATCCAACAACTGGCCTGCAGTGATTTCTTCTCTCAACTGCACATGACCCAGATGAAACGATAGTTCCTGACAGTGCATCCTGTCAGAATTTGAAAGAACCAGAGACTTTTATAGGAAGTTGACTGGGAAATTCTCTTCATTGGCCAGTGGACTTCCTCAGATTCCTGAGATTTTAGATTCCTAAGAGTTTGGCTCTTCTCAATCTTCAAAGAATTTCCCCCATTCCGTCAATCATGACCAGGAGCTGGGCCTTCTGGGAGGCCTCTGGAAATTAAGAAGTAAAAGCAGCACCTACATTCTACTCCCCCTTGAACAAATGGTCCTGGCTTTCAACTAAGCAAACAGGAAAAGCGCTGCCTTAATGGAGGGTCCGGTCTGAAGACCCTTACTGCTCTGTTTGGAGTCCTCCTTGGAGGTCCCACGGCAACAGAAAATGTCACTGCCCAGAAAAGGCGCCAGTTGGGTGGGCCAGGGGACCAGACAAGGGAAACAAGCTTTCAACCATGTTTAGCTAGGGATCCGCAGTAAGAGGCGGAGCTGCACATGGACCAGCTGCAATTGGAGAGCATAATCCATCCATTATCCTCCCACTCCTCCTCAGACTCTGCTCACAACAGGCCTTTCCCATTTTTTAGGGGAGTCAGAGCAGCAGCCTCTGGGGTAGAGATCAGCAGTAGGATGCGGGGGTCGGAGAAGACTCCGAGCTCCTAAGGCCCCGCAGCTCGCCACACAGCAGTCTGCCCAAACCGAATGCCTTCACATGGGGTGTGGGCCCTGATTCAGCAACCACTCCGTTCAGTTTCGTTTCTACAGTAAGCCACGGGCTTGGTCATCAAACCCTCTCTAAGCTCTACCACCCACCCCTCCCTCTTCTAATCAATAGGTTCTAGATCAAAGCACCCAAGGGGGGCTCCTAGTCTCCTGACAAGTCTCTTCTTCCCTGACAAAGGTAGGTCCTTGGAGCAGGAAATAAAAAGATGACACTGCTATAACCCTCTCCTCCTGCTTCCATGCCACACACACACACACACACACACACACACACACGCGCGCGCGCCTTTCTCTCCTATCCTATCTTGATATCCTAAGCCAAATACTGTTAAAAGTTTCAACAGGTGGTCTTCCCTCTGGGCATCTCCTCTGCAACCCTGTCTGCGGGGCTGCCCACCCGGAACCTTGAATCTTGGGAGAAAACCATGAAAGGTATCAAGTGGGAGTCAGCGAGAACTCCAGCATGAAGAGTTTTCCCCGTCCCTGCGGTGGCTCCTCAGAGCTCCTGCTGCATTTCTCATACCTTACGTTGGAAAACGTAAAGAAAGCAAAGCAAACCACCCCCCAACCCGGGGGGGGGGGAATGGGGGAGGGCCTTACCATTGCACATGGGGTAGCTGTCGGTCCAGGTGGGCTGCTGGTGGAGGAGGTTGTTGCTGGGGTTGAGATTCATTACACCACTTCCTTCCAGAATCATGATCTGTAAGGCGATCAAACAGCCCGTTCAGTCAGTGCCTCTTGGACACATGTCATCTGAGAGTACAGGTCAGAGAGTTAAGAAGAAAGGAAAAAAAGAGTGTGCCCTTCCCCACCATTGCCTCCAAAGCCTATGTCCACGGCCCTTTCGGTAAAACCAAAACTCACTGGCAATTAAAAATTTCCAGGTTCCGTTTTCATATGCACGAGGCAAGTTTTTACAGCCACCTATTCATAAATGAATAATCTCTGATCAGGAATGAAGCGAAGGGAAAATGCAATACCTACTCACAGGGCGAGTCTGGCCAGAAGCCAAGCCTTTTTTTTTTTTTTTTTTTTTTTTTTTTACAATAGTGAAAATGCCAAGGAGATTTTGTTTAAAGTGGAATTGCAAACAATGAAAACCCAAGCTGGTAGAAGCATAGACCTGGCACCTGTGTGGGAGGCCTAGCCCACCAGCGAGGCCCTCACCCGGGCACCAGCAGGTATCCTCAGCACAGATACCCGCCATGGGTGGGCAGGGGTCAGAGGGCCTCTGTCCTACTTCATCTAGAGCTCCCCCAGTATCTAGCTGCACCATAATGTCGGAATTCTTGGTTTCCCTGACAAGATACCGCCCCTTCCCTTCCTCCCTGGTACGAGTTCTGACCAGCTTTCTCTCTCCTCTTAGACTATCAGAAGCCCCGAAAGTGACCGAAAAGTGACTTTTCTAGTCTGAGGGCTCATTTTCTCAGTAAGAAGAGCCTTTCTTCCAGGGGCTTGCTTGAGTTTTTTAAACAACGTAAACTTCTTCACTTCCCCAACATCTGTCATTTTCTCACCCCAAGCCAGGCCCCCTCCACCTTCAGACCTCAGCCCCATAGGAATGAAAGCTCAGTCATTCAAAAAGAGATCAGCCAGGTTCTAGAGGTGCTTAACCATTACTGGGGATCTGGAAGGTAACACGCAGCAGATCATGGAACATTTTCTTTTTGGAGTGATGGGGGGGAGAGAAGAGGAAGCTTGCATCCTTAAGTGTCCCCCAGAATCAAAGTGCGCACCCAGAGTGGTCCCAGCCCTCAAAATCCCTTGCTCTGATTTAGCCACTGCTCCTTTGTTTCTGTGGAGGGCCTGAGAGGGGAGGGGAGGGGCCTGGAAAAGGAATACAAAATTATTCATGTATTCATTTATTCAACAAAAATATATCAGCCCTATAATAGGCTGGGCACCGTCTTAGGTCCTGGGGACAGAGCAGTGATGAAGAGTTAATTAGGTTAGACAGAATCTTTGTGACGATTATTAACTAGTAACTAGATCTGAGTCTGTTCTTTATCATCATCACGGTTGTTTGGCAAAAATTGGGCCTAAATGCAGTCTATGTAGAAGGTGGAAAGGGCCTTGATTGGAGATTAAATTAGTTCCTACACAGGAAGCACTTGGCAGGACATAGGGCATGTCACCATAGCAGGTGTCACTGGGAGGAGAGACGCAACCTTTTTGGAAAACCCGGGTAACCCGGACCAGAAACAGCCATGGGTTTCAGCTCTCCGATCCAGGCACGAAAGAGACTAAATTGATTTTTTTTTTAAAGTATGTTATTGATTTTTAGAGAGAGAGGAAGGGAGAGGGAAAGACTCAGAGAGAGAAACATCAATCCATTGTCTCCTGCACAGAGAAACATCAATCCATTGTCTCCTGCACTCACCCTGAGCAGGGATTGAACCCACAACCGGGTCATGTGCCCTGACCGGGCATCGAACCAGATCCCTTCCCATGCACAGGATGACACTCAACCAACTGAGCCACCCTGGCCAGGGCGACTAAATTGATTTTTAAATTCCTTTACAGAAACCTCTTTGATTCTTACCCTCAGAGAAGGAGGGGGGGGGAAAACAACCCAACTGAAGGCTTTCTCTTTTCCACAATAACTGGGCCTTTTCCATCCAACTTTTTAGAACAATCGCCCTAAAGCTAAGGAATCAGGTGAGGGATTTCAAGGCGAAAGAAAACCTCTCAGTCCCCAGAGTGGTGGCTGGGGAAGGGAAGGGGCATGGCCGGTCTCCTGTTTGCTCAAGGCTGGGCTTGTTCCTCGCCAAAATTTGCTCAACCACAAGCAGTAAAAAGGTTACTGTTTAACCCTGAAAGGGCTGAAGCTCAGAGCCCAGCCCATCTGCCTGGAGGAATAGGCCCTCCAGGCTGGGGGGAGCGAGGGGGGATGGGGAGGGAAGTCTTCCCTGAAACTATTATTTCACAAGGATTTGCCTGCAGGGCTGTTTCTAAGAGGCCATTTCGGTGGAAGCAAGACCTGCCCTGGCCAATTCTGAGTTACCTCCTTGGTTGGCTCAGATCTGCCACCACTTCCCAAAAGAAAACCCCAGGAGGCAGATGATGTAAAGGCTAAGCTCCCTGGTTTTGGAACCCCCAGTTAGGGTACCGTACATGACCTTGAGCCGCTTCCAAGTCTCTTTAGCCAAAAACTTTCTGATGTTCACTTTCTCCACCTGCAAAATGGGAACAATCCCAGCCTCAAAGTCCTAGGACGCCAATGAGGCCATGCATGGAGAGAACTTAGTGGGCAGCAGAAAAGAATTTGGGGAATGGCCAAGACAACGTGGACCAGTTCCCCCTGGTGATCTGGTGCCCACAAGTCCCCTTCCTCAGGGCAGACATCCCTCTTGCCATGACCTTCGGAGGCATCCAGAACTCCTCAGCCCAGAGAAGAACCTTGAGGACTACAAGGTCGCAGCTGCCCCATCACCACCTGCCCTCCCCACTCCCAAGAGGCTGGCATACATGAGCACTGCTCCCTGCTGGCACCCCCTTTCGTAGGGAAAGCAGCCAGCATAGAGAGGGCCCCTTTTTTATAGGGCACAGTAAATGGTTACTACTCATAAAAGCATTTATGTGGCTTAATCCTTAGTGAGTCAGAGTTCAGTTGAGCTCACCCAGGCCTGTGAGAAAAGGAGGTCAGTGTCTCTAGTCCAGCATGTCGCTGCAGGGACAGTGCCCCCAGGGTGGGCATATGAGGCCCCAGGCTCACACAGCTGAAGGCCTTTCCCCAAGCCCTACTCTGTCGCCCCCTTTCTCCCTCCACTGCCCAGGGGCGCAGTCCTTCAGGTGTAAAATGAGGGCATTTGCACCCCAACAGCTCCGAGGACTGTTGTGGAGATCAAATGAGATCATGGATAATAAATGTGCCTTGAAATTTATTGTTTTTAAGAAGCATTATTATAACCAACTCGCCCACGCTCCCATATACTAATGCAGAATTTCTAACGTACCTTGTGACCACTTTATGGGATACGAAAAGCAATGTTTTTCATTTAAAAGAAGGGGGATCCTTTAATGCCCTTCTTTAAGCTTCCCACTTTACATTCAGCATAGCTTTTATTGTTTCCTACCAAAAGAAAAATTTAAAAACAAACAAGCAATAAAAAAAAAAAAAAAAAAAAACAACAACAGCAAAGCATTAAGTATGTGAGGTGGAGACTTGGGATCTTTGAAGCCTGGGTTAGAATCTGGGCTCCATCCTGAGCCAGGCAACTTGGAGTATGTTAACTTATTTCTTCCTGGTTTGAACGGGGAGTCAGGGAAAACATGGATGTCCCTCAAGCCTAGGACTGCTTGGAAGGATACCTAACCTAATGGATTTAAAGGAGTCTAACCCAGCACCGGCACACGTGTCCTCAACAAAAACCAGTCTTTTCCTTTCTTTAAATACCCGTTCTCAAGATATTTCTCTAACATGCTTTATTTTCTCCAGGATTGAAGAAGTAAATTCAGAGCTAAAGTAACACTGACTCCACACCCTTTGAGTCAAAATTAAGCCAGAGAAAGGACTCCCCCCTCCTCAACTCTAGCTCAAGGGGGGATTCTGGGCAGCAGCGGGGGGGGCGGGGGGGGAGGAGAAGGAGGGGGAAGAAGAAGGAAGAAGAAAAGGTGGTCCTCAGTCATGTAGGTGAAAATCAGCATTTTTCAATCTCTGCATGACTGATGTTTGGGGCTGGGGTGGTTCTTTGTTGCCGGATCATGCTGTGCATTGCAGGATGTTTAGCTGCATCCCTGGCCTCTAGAATCTAGTAGCATCCCCAAACCCAAAAATGTTCCCTAAAGCTAAATTATCTCCCCTGCCCCCCTGAGAAAACCAGGTTAAAAGTAGGGCCTATGGCCGTGACAGCTTTGACTTTGATCTTCCTAGTGTGATGACCTTGGGCTGTTCCCTACCCTTTGTGAGTCTCTCTCTTCTCTCCTGGGAAACAGGCACCGGACCACCTAGGCCTGGAGGAGGATGGAATGAGAGAGGGGACAGTAAGGCCCCAGTACAGTGCCTGGTCCAAACCAAGTCATTCAAGTAATGGCGTCCTAAGTGGAGGTTTAAGAAAATGCACTGGGTACAAGGCCAACTTTGTCTATCCCCAGGTGGCATTCTGGAAATAGCATACTTTGTTGCTTGGGCTATTAAACATTACACACACCTACACAAATTATAAATTGCATTTCAAACCCAAGGACTGAAATGCAAGGTAGGTTACCCAGGGAGTTTTTCATCTACATTCTCTTATCCACTTTCATGTGTAAGAAAAATGGGAGGAATAGTACTTGGCTCCAGACTCCCATTCATCATCCAAAGGTTCACACTGACCAAGACTTTACCTCTGTGCACAAGTTTCTAAGACTGACGCTTCTGGAGACAGACATGCACCATGTCTTGGAAGAGGAGGCACCACGCCCTGCCCAGCGGGCTACAGTGTGGATGGATGAGAACCTCACATCGGGCTTCCAGCCAGGACCTCTTAGGCAGCAGCTCCCTTGCACAGGACGGGCCAGGAGGGCTTGGCCAATCCGAAACTCATTTTTGCAGAAGCAGCGCTGTGCTCTGCTGTGCTGTGCTGTGCTGGGGTGGGGTGGCCCCAGCCTGAATGGTGGTGGGAGAGCTAGGCCACTCTCTGCTCCCCACTTAGTGAATGGGCAGTTTCAGGTTCAATACCAACTCCCACACAGGCCCAGGTTGCTTCTGTGCCACCC